GGTTTGGCAGTAGGTTTAGGAGGGATGAAAGTTGTCTTCCCTTTCCTTTTGGAACTAGAGGAGTCAAACCCAAGTCCTTTGCGACCCTTATGTTTGGTCGTTTCAAGCAGCTTGTTCACTGCTTCTTGGGACTTGAGTATCCCTAGCTCTTTGTTAAGGGATTTCACCTTTTCAGAGAGAGATTCATTTTCAGTCTTGAGTTGAGTGATCTCATTCAGTTGACTTTTCCGACTTTCAGTCAACTTGAGATTCTCTTCACTCAATAGTTTGTTCTCTTCTGTTAAGGATGTGTGTTTGAGATTTATCTCCTCAAAGTCTTTCATCATCTTTTTGAACTGGTCAAAAAGATTTTCAGAAGTTGGTGTGCTATAAGAAGATGAGCAGGAGGTTTGTGAGGTTACCTCTTGATCAGCATCATCTTTGGCCATTAGGCAGAGAGTGTCATCTTCTGACATAGTCCACCTATCCTCATGGTTGGACTTCTCAACTCTGCGCTCCATGCAGACGAGGGCTTCTTCATCCGAGCTTGAGCTGGATGATTTGTCACTTTCAGCAGCAACCATTGCTTTCTTTTTCTTCTCGATCCTTTCTCTTTCTCCGTACTTCTCCACTTTTGGGTACGGGCATGCTGACTTCCAGTGGCCAGGCTTCCTGCAGTTATAGCATAAATAAGATTCAGGAGGGGAGTCACTTACCTGTGGCTTTCCCTTGGATGGCCTTCTGATTGAATCAGCCTTCTTGAAGAACTTCTTGAACTTCCGAAATTGTTTGACCATCATGGCAAATTCCTCTTCGTAGTTCTCCATTTTTGAGCTTGACGGCTGCCTGGAGGAAGGTGTGTCACAGTTTCTTGTGCATGTCCCTTCACTTGATGGAATTCTTGAAGTTGTCATCAATGCCGTGGGGAAGGGAGTGACTTGTTCTTCCTTCTTCTTTTTCAGCTCGTACTCATAGGTTCTGAGTTCATCAAGGAGACCTTGAACAGTGTAGTTTTCCAGGTTTCTTCCTTCTCCCCTGGCTGTGGCTTTGGTGTACCACTCAGTTGGGAGTGATCTCAGCGACCTTACATTCTTTTCTTTGGGAGAAAGAATGTGGTTAAGTGAGGCAAGATCATTACATATTTTGTGGAATCTTTCATCCAACATGTCAAATGATTCTCCGGGAAGCATTTTGAAGCTTTTGAACTTCTCAAGTAAGACTTCTATCTTCTGCTTTCTTAGGTCCTCTGATCCCTCACATAGCTTCCCAAGACCTTGCCAAATCTCCATGGCAGTCTTGAGATGCTTGATCTTGGAGAAGGTGATGGGATCAAGTGTCTTGAAGATGGCTGCTTTGGCGACGTTGTCCAGATTGTGCTTTTTGCAATCTCTATCATCCCATTTTTCTTTGGGTTTTGGAATGTACTGGACTACATCTGGAGCAGCTGGATTCCTCTCAGGATTCTCCATTTGGATTTTCAAGGGTCCATCCTCAAGCACCATCCACATGCAGTCATGTAGAGCGTAGAGATGTGCTTCCATCATGATCTTCCAATCATCATAACCTAAGAGAGAAAACTTGGGCAAACCGTGATCCATATTGTTCACCATTATGATCGCTTCTCGTTAATCTAAACGTAGATAGTGAGAAGTTAGCTCTGATACCAATTGGTGGTCCCAAAGTGGTGAAATACAAAGTCTAGAGGGGGGGTGAATAGACTTTGTTACAGATTTAAAATCTTTTTCGTTTCTTATGAAAACGTGAAAATGAGTGTTAATCTAGAGTTCTTGTGAACTTTAGATTGTGTGCGGAATTTGGTGGGTAGAGTGAGTAGTAATCAATATGGATGGGTTAGTTTTCACAGTTAATATAATTGCAAGTAAGAATAAAGATAAAAGAGAGAGACACGCAAACTTTAACGAGGTTCGAAGGTGGGGTAATCCTTCTACGTCCTCAAAATCCACTATGTAGTTGGTTGTTGAATAATGAACCATGAAGAGTGGGTCATGATTCATGAGGAGGAAAAGAAAAGCTCATGTGACCAATTTGTCAATGAGGAAGACGTCTCTGATATTCCTTCCAAAGATGAAGATGACGTCTTCGTAGAAGAACTGGCTTCTAATGCTCAGGAAGAATCACACTATAATGATTCTTTCCTTATTCATGATGACTTCGTTGATGAGGTAGTTATAGAGAAAGCCACACCGGAAGTTATATATTCTACGGAAGTGATTTCCATAGAGTATTATCCTCTTTTCAATGAAGGAAAATCTTATCACCTCTCTGGGGTATGTTTGAAGCAGGTTTTTACAGGGAATGGCATCATGTTCCGGAAATTACACAACGAGGTGCCCACTAATTCCGGAAGTAACCTCATTATTGGTGGTTCATTCAATTTCCCATTTGATCCGGGAATTCTTTTATGAAACCCCAATCAGTCACGGTGGTGCGAAAGTTTGAGGACAAACTTTCTTTGAAGAAGGGGAGTATGATGTACCCCTGGATGGCTCCACCAAAATCCCAACTCTCCCAACATATCCAAAAGTCTTCTTTCTTTTCTTTAATTCAAAATAAAGTCTTTCCCATCAATTTTTAACTCCAGGTCAAAAATGAAATCAAAGGAAGACAAGTCAAACCTTAGTTTCTTATTATCTTTTAAAACCTTTGTTTCTTTTCAAATCCTTTTTACCCAAATTATGCCTTTCCCACTTTCTCTTGCAACCTTGATTCTAAAGCCCTGAATAATCGATTATACATAATTGATAATCGACTATTATAGCTCTCTGATTCTTCTTCGCAAAACCAGCAACCTGACATAATCGATTATCTTAAAAGTAATAATCGATTATCTCTACTCTCTGGAAAGTACCCAGCTTTGAGCAAGCCCTTGATAATCGATTGTCTTTGA